AGCTCTGAAGGAAAGAGAGAGCAGATGATTTATTTTTGTTGAAACCTGCATACTTCACCCTCTTCACAGAGTTCAGGGACCATCAGGCCAAGGTGAATGGGGAAGGTGTGGCTCCAGGAAACTCTCCTCACTCACCATTTTATACTAATTTTTCCTATTAAGCCAAGCGGTGGTAAGAAAACAATTTTTTCAGAGAGAGGTCACTGATTTAAACTTGTCATACAAAAGGCCCTGTAACTTTTAATGTCATGAATCTCTGATTTATCCTGCAATGTAATGCACCTTCTGGTTTCATGCTCAGGTCCCTGCTGTAATCTTTAGGTGACTCAGGCACTCACAGACTCGTAGGCACAAGCAGCTCACAGTGGAGATACCTCTCTGCAGTCCAGATTGAGGCTCTGGCCTCCGATTTCCAACTTCAGAATTTCTATCTGGTAATACCACTCCTCCTTAATCGGGGTATACCAAATGTCTCCTTTGTACAAACTTGGTTCGATTCCGCCCAGGACCTAGGAAGGAAAATAGTCACAGGGGTAAGAGAAAACACACACAGGCGCATAACAAGTTACACAAAGCAGAGTGTAAGGCGAACCTTCGCTGGAATCAGTGCTCACTTCAGTCTGATGCTACAAAACAAATGTATGTGCTTGAAAATTAAACGGGGAATGTTTTGGGGGCCAAGTACGCAAAAGTCAGACAATACTCTGCCCCGGTCTAATCAAGATGCTGTGGGGGTCCCCTCACCTACAGGACACACACGTAACGCCAACCTTACAATATGGAGATTCTGCCCCAAAGAAACGCAGTGAAATAGTTAATTGCCCAGACCGACAGCTAAACCGCCCAGATTTAGCTCCTCAGAAGACGGAGGAAGCCCCCCAGCCCACACACTGCACGGAAAGCGAACAAGATGGAGCTTCCTTAATCGAAACTTCACTTTGCAGAACGGTATGACCTTACCCCTCACATCCCATGCCACACTCTCCCCTGGAGAGGGGGTCACAAGCAAGTGCACTGCTAGCGAATGGAAGAAGCTGAGCCGGCTTCTCACGGCTCAAGAGCAAAGACATTGGCAGCACCCACCCTGAGGGAGGTCCCCTCTTGAGCACCCTCCTGTCACCTCCTACTTGAGACATCTGGGTGCAGGTTCCCTCAAGGGGACGCTCAGGGCTGATAGCCTTGAAGGATTCTGCTCCACTAACAAATGCTTTTGCTCAATGTGTGTGTATGTGTTGGGAGAGAGAGAGAAAGGATATACGGTTGTTCTTTGTCTCCCCAAACTTATGAAATCGCAGGCATCCCCCCTGCTTCCCCTCCCCGGGGTAAGGCCCACCCGCTATCTCCCCGACTGTCTCTCGCTTGCCCCTCCCCCACCCAGCAAAACCAGTTACCTCTCAAAGGAAAATTTTAAAAAGCTTTCATGGAATTTGGGGAAGTCATGAGAATCATCTTTTGGATGGTAGGAGAATTAGGAAAGATAAAAATAATAGGTAATTTTATCCATTTTTAAAAAGTTTCTATAATAAGGATTATCACAACTTTCCAGGACCTATGTATGCCTACACGTCTAATATTTCCATCAGGGTCTTAATAAAACAGAAAGAAAAAACAATGCCCCAGAGATTGGTGCGTTTTCGCCTCTTTAAGACTGAAAGATACCCACAAGACTACCTCCGTTGGTACCCGATCCGGCCACAGGCAGTCCCGCCCCACACATCTGCATGGAGAAAACGTTGGGGATTCCTGCTTGTGTCACGAGGGAGTCAAAGAAGGTCTCCAGGGAGCTCGACGGCTGCAGGAGGAAGGGAAGGGACAATGCGTCAGACTCACAGTCTAGAGCACCCAGGGTTGACACCACGTTAGATTTATATTTAACTTTTTTCATGGCTGAACAGTAAACAAGCTTATGATTAAGTACCTTCCAACAATAATTCAGAAACCTCCAACAGGACTTCCTACTACTTGGTATTTTTCCTTTCGGCGCGGCTGTGTTGTAAAATAAGAGTATTTCCGGAAGCAATTAGGAGGCTCTCACACTTGTCACCGCGAGTGCCTGGCGAGGCGGGTGACAAGGCATGGAAGCGGGCGACCGAGGCAGGTGGCGGCCTCTCGCTGCGGCCACTTCGGAGTAAGGAGAGAACCGGGTCCCGGGAGCTGGCGTGCGTCTTCACCTCTCAGCTGCAGTTGTCCCTCACACGAATCAGAGGTGCCTGACCCAGGGGACAGCTCATCTCAGATCCCAGACTACGGGACACTGCGTGGCTCGGCCAGCTGTCCTCGGAGCTCCCGTGAGCAGGGAACTCGCAGAAAGGGAGCAGTGCTCTCCTCAAGCTGAAAAGCTGTCTGACTCCCCTTTGCCGGGTTTCACTCCGGGCCCTCCTCGCAGGCAGCCGCGCATGCAGAGGACGCCCCCAGTTCCCCAGGACTCAGAAGAAAGAGGGACCGTCTACGGACAGTTCTGAGCTGGGGGTGGGCCACGGGGGCCGGTGGTCATAGAGGACGGTCACAGGCTTGAGTTTAGATTTTGGCTTTGACAACTGGAGATAGGAGAGTTAGTCACCGTGAGTGCTAGTTCTTGGTGAAAACTTAATTGCGGTAGCATAGATGCTATAGGCATATGCTAACCACCGATGGTTAACAGAAGGCACAATCATTTATTATCTGTAAGATAATACGAATTATGATCTGGAGGGAGGAAGAACCCCATTAACAAATAGGTAAATCTCCCCACGTGTTCAGTTCATTTGTCCTAGTCTCCCACTCAGCTCCCGTGGGGTCGGGCAGAATCTGGCACGATGTCCCTAGGTGATCTTCGTGTTTGGGTCAATGAGACAAAGGTGTCTCTGGAAACGGGTTGGCTGGTGCTGACCCAGGCTGGTGTTCTTCTGCTGTCCAAGTCCCTGAGGGACAGCAAGGTGAACAGTGCCCGGAGCTGCTGCCTGGCTCCACCACCCGCTAACCCTGTGACTTGCCCCTTTGTTTCCTGATCTGTAAAGTGGGGGTGATAACAGGCCCCTAGAGTGGTTCTGGGGCTTAAATGGGTCGGTGTCCCACAAAGGGCCGGGCCAGTGCCTGGCACACAGTCAGGGACCTGTTCCTGTTCTCTCAGGTCAGCTTCAGTAGGACTGTGCCCAGGATCCCTGCAGAGGTCGCAAAGCGCAGTTCCCGCGGCCAGGACAACCTGATTCAGCCGTGCGGCTGGACCCAGGCAGCTGCGGGGGGGGAGCCCCCCTGGGTGGCTCTGACACACATCCTTGGTGAGAAGCAGCTGGGATCCACCAGGGGCCACCACCCGCTATGGTCACCACTCACTGCTTGGTCAACCTACTTCAGAAAAGCCTTCGGGCCACCAGCCCAGACCACCCGCCTGTCCTGTCTCCAGCCCTGCTTCCCACACATCCTGTTACTGTCTCCTCAGCTCCAACAATGTGGAGCCAACTGTTGCCAATCTTGGAATTTTACAGATGAAAAGATAAAAGGTCATGTGGAAAGTCTGACACCCCCAAGGGAATTTTTACATATTATTAATTCTAGATAATTTAGCTTTCCTCTACTGTCTTCCAAGTAATCAGCATAGAAATAGTCATGCCCACATCTTTCATTTCCAAAGTCACATGAAGATGGAATGTTTCGCCCAAGGTCACATTGTTGGTGAAAATGTACTAAGGGAGGGAAGTTATTACCAGTCTGCAAATCTCATGTAAAGCTCGGCCTATGGTACTGAGAAAACGGGGCTCCAGGACCAGTCTGGGCCCCGCAGGCAGTGGGACACGCAGAGGGGGCTCTGGCTGCCCTGGGCGAGGAGCCTCTGCCCCTCAGTGAGCACATCTCAAAAGTGGGGTAACCTGCCCTTACAAAGTCGGCCTTGTGGGGAGGTCGTGAGAACTGACACCTCGTAATGTTCTCAGCCTTGTGTCTCATGGGACAGTCTTTTTCCTTGAGAAGCCCCAGGGCTGGGGACTCCCCTGCTTGCTGCCCCCCACCAACCCTTCACCTCCCCCACCCCTGCACCCTTTGCTGGTAATCTTCAGCGGGAACCAATGTCCTTATGAGGAGAACAGGTTTTCCCTTTGGGGTCTTCAGGGACCAGTGGGGGCTCTGTTGTCACCAGCCTGCTGCTCCTGAAGCCGGGCTTCCTTTTTGATTTCTTTTTAGCTCTGGCTCAAAGCCTGACCCTGAGCAATGAGGTGTGGTGCCGATGACAGGCAGGAGGGGTGACCTGCTTTGCCCAGGTGTACGTAGCCCTGCCCATAGGTGCCCCGGGGCCTAACCCACCTGCCTCTGGTGGAGATTCCCTGGCTTCGGCCGGCCTGCCTCCCTCCTCTTGCGCCCCAGCAGTGCTCCTTCGGGGAGCCCACTACAATCCTGGAGACCATGCAATTCTGTCTTTCCGTCTTGTGAAGGTTCTGATGCCGAGGAGAGCAAGGCTCCAAACTTTCTCCTTGTGGCCGGCAGTCCTGAGACAGGCTTTCCAGCTGTCCCTGCTCCGGCTGCAGATGTCCCCTCAGAGGTGGTCTGGAGCCCCGGGAGGCAGCGTGAGGCCTCTCAGCCTGCCGGGGCCACCTCCCCCTGCCCAGGTCCCAACGTCTCCCGGAGGCTCCATCTTCATATGAACGTAGGAATTTAATAAACATTTTCTCGTAATCCTATGCTAATAAAAACTCCTAAACAAAACCATAAAGTGATTCAGATTCTCAGTATTTTCAACTATCCAAGTAAAATAGATAAAAACAAAAGACAAAGAGTAATGATACCAGTGTATCTTGCAGGGAAGTTCAAAAATTGTGCCATGTACTTTTTAAAAATGCTTAGAAACCTCATTAACCATGTGACCAGCGGCCTGTTTCAACCCTGTGATTCTGACTGACCAGCTCCCGCAGCCCGGACCCGTTCATTGGCCCCTCTAAGGAGGGGCTTTCAGACCCTCTTCCCATCGCTCAACTGACTCAGGTCCCCGACTCATTCTCACCTTGGCCAGGGCAGCGTAAGCAAGTCCAAGTATCCCATTCCACTCAATCCCAGGCAGGAAGAAGTTCTCCGACTCAAAGATCGTGGCAATGTTGACAAGGAAAGAGCTGTTGAAGCCTTTGGGGATGGTCACCAAGTCCTCCCCCACCGAGCCGGTCCAGCTCCCTTGCGTGTACTTCACGGTGACATCAAAGCCCTTGGGACTGTACGTGCTGGACCTGGAGGGAGAAGGGAAGGGAAAGCGTCGCATTCTGTCTGGGTGACCGTGTCTGACAGGAGGGCCGGTCACGGTGGCAAAGACGGCTGTTCTAAACACGGTCAACTGTAAGCAACTCTCAACAATGTTCACGTCAACAGAGTTACAGTTCCCACAAAATGTAATCACTACTGTTTGGGTAACAGCGTCTTCTGTGCCAGGTGGAAGGACATACTGGGGTTAACATGTGGCCCCAGAGAAACCCCTAGGTCAGGTGCTCCACTTAACTGCGCTGGCTTGTGAAGGCAGAGCCGAATGTGGGCACCTGCCTGGCCCCCTGGCTATGCGGGGACCCTGCACTGACCGGGCTTTGTGGCACAGGGAGGGGCTCGCAGCCTGGAACGAGGTGCCCCAGCTTGTGCCAGCAGTGGCCAAGGGTTTGGATTCATACAAACAACCATTGTAATGAATAAAGATGAAGTCATACCCGCCACATTACCCCCTGATGTCACAGGTTCCTTCAGGGCTCTCCTCCAATGCCAAAAGCTGATTATATTCACAGCAGAATACAAGGGATGAAGCAAAAGGCAGGCTTTGACACAAGTCACTGCGACGCCATCTCCAACCCCCTAAGGGTAGGAGTTACTCAAACACAGTCTCCTCAACTAAAAAACGGAGATAACATAGTACCATACCTCGTGGGGTTGATTTTGAGAATTAAACGAGTGAACATGGGAAAGCACTTAGAACAAAACCCTGGAACACAGCAGGTACGCAACGAAAACAGCTGTTACTACAGTTAAATAACCTTTATTCAATGTATGAACTCTTAGAAAATGTAAATCCCCCC